AAGAGATGAATCTCATAGTTTATTAGATATAATCCGTGTAAAGTTTGCTTATCATTTTCGCATTAATTATGACCTAAATTTGGAAACCGCTGAATTTCTCGAATTGGGTCTTTGCGGTTTTGATGAAACTCTGTTCAGCGTAAGGCACTAATGCGCACTATGTGTAGCCGGGAGATTTTCACGAAAAACTGCCGGCAACAGCAGATTTTCGACTCAGACCTCAAAGGGGCGTGGCATTATAACCACGTGACATTTACTCCGATCGCCAAAAATTTTATGTTATATTGTAGATTGATCTATATATTATTCATTCTATGTGTTAGACTTACGATAAAAGTAAAGGTGGGGATACCAGAGAGCTTCAAAGTAGGATGGTACCCCCCCCAAAAAAACTGGGTCGAGTCACCTTAATGCTGACCAATCGCAAAAATATTTCGAAGTATATTCATAACAGTTTGTCGAATGTGTCTCATCTTCCAGCAGTAGATCAAGGGATTGAGGGATGAATTAAGATACACAAGAGTCGCCGATGTGAAATACAAGGCGGTTTTACTATTGACCTTGGCAAGAACAACACAAGCTATTGGCAAATAGCAAGCTAAGTAAACCAAATAAATGTAGAATGTAGCCAGTGAAGATTTTTTCAGCCTTGCGGCATTTGCCATATCTTCATTCTGTGTCGCTTGTTGTACTTGTTGTACTTGAGCTTGCATCTGGTTTGTTTGGTGTCTCATGGCTGCGTATATCTTGCAATAAAGCAATCCTGTAGTTATGATACAAACGACTATAATGACTGCTGGCATAATAAAAGGATCTTGGGACAACCCACGCGGGATGGAAATTGATGCACTTAACACCCAGACTGAGATCACGACAGCAACAACACGTTTGTGAGTTACAAGTTCCTGGTATCTGAGATGAAGATGGATTGCCAAGAATCTGTCAACAGTTAATGCAAAAACACCAAAATGCGAAGCCGTGACAAATATTTTTTTCTGGATTACATACGCTTTCTATACTGAATTATAAGCGGTGCTGTTTGTGTTTTGGTCTATTTCCATCAGAAGAATTGCAACGTACAGTGGTTGGACAAGTAAGCCTACACCCAGATCAGACACAGCCAGGCTTAGAAGCAACGTTTTTAAAGTCTTAGGCAACGACGACGTTTTTCTAAGCGCTTGTATTGTTATGATGTTCAACAAGATGCTAGTGAAACACAAGAAAGCGTTGAAGACGCAGCTAACAACAAGTGTCAAATGCAAGCCTTTAGCACTTGCCATTTTGTACAAGGGACCTTGATCACTGTTCAGTTTCTAGTATAATATGAAAAGAAATCCGTTGCTTTCTAGGTTTCATCAGTTTTGAATGAGACTGACCTTCAGCTTCCGCCATTGAATGGAGCGTTTTATACAGTCTTAAGTTTTAGCAGCTGTGTAGAACTTTTGAGGAACTCTGCAAGTGCTTTTTTCTTTGAACGAGGCTGACGCTGGAAATAATTCTTTGCGAGACTTACTGAATATTTTCCAACGATTCTCTTCCTCCTCCGATGGCAATTGGTTTTAAACTGAGTACTGTTGAGTCTTCCGCGACAATAGTAAAAAAAGTCACCTTACTTGAAATGAAAACTGTGCATGTCTGAACCCGGAATTTAAAATTTAAATGTGGCGTCATCATCACACAGTAATTATATATTTTTTTCTTTTAAGCTAAACGCGATAGGTCGAGCCTTGTAAGTGCTAAAGTTCGTCAGTCAAAAAGGAAGAAAGTTATATGAAACTACTGACGTAATATTAAATTAGCAACGGCAGTTGGTTTTCAATGAATCGCAAATATACAGTCAAACAGAAAGAGTTGTGCGGTGACTTGAGGAGAATTCGGCCTTTTATGTCGCAAACGCAACCAATCCAACGTACTGTATTTGCTGGACCCATGCACACATTTTTTGATAAACTACATGGTCAAGCGTGACCTACAGAGTGTGAGGCGGTTTAAGACACAGCAGCCTAGTTACTTAATTTAATCAATTGCAAATGATCAAAATACCTGTTTATACATGACGTGACAATCCAATGAGCAAGCATGTTACAAAAGCAATATATGCCTTAAACTGCAATCGAATACTACAACAATCAACTTGGAAACTATGAAAATGTATTCAAAAACAATACACTATCCTTTATTAACTTTAAGGCAGCTAAGGTTCATGATAAACGTCACTACAGTTGCTGCTGTAGCTGGCAAAGTTGGTGTAGTTGATGTAGTCCGTGTAGTTGGTGAAGTTGCTGTCGGTTGCTGAAGTTGGTGTAGTAACCGTAGTTGGTGTAGTTAGTGTGGTTGCTGTAGTTATTGTAGTTATTGTAGTAACTGTAGTTACTGTAGTTGGTGTAGTAACTGTAGTTGCTGTAGTTGCTGTAGTTGCTGTAGTTACCAGCTAAGATTAAGTCGTATTTGCTTCAGTTTCCTCAGTTTAAAACACACCCATTCTTTTTTACAAGAATACTGTTTTCCCGGCCCAGGCTGAATATTCTTATTTTTTCTGCCGATTTTAGGCTGAAAATATGTTCGTATTCTTCTTTAATTGTATTTAAAAAGAAAAAGCTTATCATGATACTTTTTACTTTTGGGGTTTACATTTTCGTAATTAATTCATCAGAGCTAAACAAAACCTAATTCATATTAACTCTAGTTTCTCCACTGATATTAAAGAAGGTTTATCATTGTGCGCAAATTAATGCGTAGTAAATAAATAAGAGCATACTTTTCCTTTCAACAGGGTAACCAATTCGTAGGAAAGAGGAGAACATCTTCGGCTTTTAGTTTAAGAATCGTGATATAGTAACGATTTTTCCTTAATTTTTTATTTCCTTCTTTGTTGTTAACGCCGTTGTTCTGTTACGCATTGTAGGTTATTATGATTCTTCGTCTGTTTGAACTCGCTCTTACCACTACCCTCTTAGCCTGAGAACACTTCACAATTTCCTCGCCTGTTTGCGGATGTGCATGATCCCCATTTATTTACCAAGTTACTAATGATTTTAAGTGTTCACTTTCTTATCTCAAAAGTTTATGAAACCAAAGTTAACTAAGACATTAATGATCAGCCATTACTACATAGTAGCAGTTCGATGAATATTCACGTTCGGAACAGTAAGGGCTGATCAGATAGTGATACATTAAGGAGGTCTTGAGCGAGTTTTCTAACGATGCTTGCATAAAAAGAGTTTAAAGCGGTAGCAGAGGAGACCGGGCAACAGCTCCATCAGTATCAATACTTGCGATACTCTAAGAGGGCTTGATGAGCTTAAAGCCTTTCTGAGCGCGCTCAAAAGTGCTTGTCAATGCAAGTTCTTGACTTTCTTGAATCTGATTAGTAACGATATAGCCTTCTTAATGGCACGACTAACGCGGTTTCCTAATTCTTAGTGACGATATATAGCGGATTCGATAAAGGTTGGTTTGGGCATTGAGAATTGCGCATTGGGAAGTTATTGTTTGGTGGTCACTCAAGTAAACCTTTGCATTGTTCCATAAGCCCAATGTCCAATTACCAGTTACCAACTACAAAAGCAACCTTTTTTGATTTAACTGTATGCGCCAATGCCATCTATTCTGGTTGCTTTTAGCTTTCTTCAGATTATAATCAAGCTTTCTGATTTGATATGCGATGGTTGATGTCATCCAGGGGACTGAAAATCCTCTAACTATACGAGTTTTAGCTGGTGCGTGAGCCACATGATTACTAAGACCAGGATCAAACACTGATCGAACAATGAGCACTTTTCTCTCTCACCGCCGCGTCTCGCCTTTCTCGCGTGGGGTGATTTTAACGCGCGCTCGCGTTTCGCTCGCTGTACTATCCCTGAGGAAAAATGGGGACTACTCGTAGTCTATGAAACTACTGACGCGATATCAAAGTAGAAACGGCAGCTGGCTCAGTTGCAATGAATCGTAAATACACAGTCAAACAGAAAAGAGTTTAGCGATGGTTTAGAGGAAATGCGGAATATTAGGTCTGAGGCCAATCCTACATGTTTGCTGGACTCAAGCGAAAAATACGCACATGTTTTGAGTAACTACAACCTACGACGACTCTTTTGAGTTGAGAGAAGGAACTTGTTCCTCTCCCCCCCCCCCCCCCCCAAAAAAAAAAAAAAAAAATACTAGCTAAGGTTTTAAAACAAAGATACAGGAGGTAGTTACTTGACAAATCATGCTGTCATATGCGTCAAAGTTTAATCAATTGCAAATGATCAGAATGTTTAAAATATCCCTTTTAGTCCCAACTTTATGAAACCAGCCATCATGACGAGGCAATTAATTCGATAAGTAATCATGTTGCAAAAGTAAAAAATGCCTTTAACTACAACACTAACAATCAACTTGGGAACTATTTTTCAATCTCATTTTACTATGCTTTTATTAACTTAATAACGTTATAGTTCGTGGTAATTCCAACCAGCTAACAGGAAAACCAATTTGTAGGCAAGAGGGGAATATCTCTTTTACAGTTTAAGAATCGTGAAAAAGTAGCGATTTTTCCTCAGTTAATTGTTTGTTTTTGTCTCTGTTGTTAACTGTGGGGGTGTGTTCGAGCAACTCGCTCGCTACACGATGTGGTGCCAGGAATCTGATTTACATCTTGGCCTTTATTCTTCTTTGACTTCTGCTAACAATCTTAATCTTCCTACTCTTCTAACTCTTTTCTACATTTCTACTCTTCTCTACTTACTAGTTCAAGTATAGTAGCGGTTTTTATAGCCAAAGCTGGACATGTTTGTGTTAGCTGACCGGGAGACCTTCAGTATAATTGAATATCTTATCGCTAACATTGCAACACGTTTTCTATTGTAAGGGAATAGATTAGCCTACGCACAGCCCAACTGACAAGCACCAAAGAACCAAGGTCAGCTCTAACACCACAAACACGACCACCTGTAAAAAACTAACATCTGACAATGCCAAGCTAATAACATTCCTAATATGGCAATAAGTAAATTTGCGAACTTAAGCATAAATTCAAGTAGAAGTAAAAACAAAAGATCAAAACAGGAAAACAGTACGTGGACAAAACAAGACTTAATGAAACAAAAACTAAACTTAAGATAAGATATATCCGTCTTAAAAATAACTTTCAAAATACTTCACAACACAACACTGTTGTTCTATTACACATTTTAGGTTATTATGATTCTTTATCAGTTTGAACTTGCTCTTACCCCTCCCCCCTTACTTTTCAGCCTGAGGACACCTGGCAGTTTCCCCGCCTATTTGCGGAAGTGCATGATGCGTAATTATTTACCGACTGACCAGTGCTTTTGTGTGTTCACCTCAGTCTTATCTCCCAAGTTTATAAAACCAAAGTTTGCCAAGGCATTAATGATCAGCCATTACTACATAGCAGTTCGATGAATAATCACGCTTAGAAAAGTAAGGGCCTACTTCAGGCTGAGCAGATAGTGATACATCAAGGAAGTTTTTGGTGAGGTTTCTAACGATGCTTTCATAAAAAGAGTTCAAAGCGGAAATAGTGGAGTCGGTGGAGACCGGACAACAGCTCCATCAGTATCCATACTTGAGACTGTTGCAGGTCTTAGATGAGCGTTAAGACTTTCTGAGCGTCCTTCAAAATTGCTTGTCATTTTCTTGACTTTCTTGAATATGATCTTTAGTAATCAGATTCACTTAGCCTTCAGTTAATCAGTTCCACGGTTAACGTGGTTTAACTTCACGATATCATATGCTCTAATGCCGACTGTTCTTGTTGCTTTAGGCTTACTTGTTGAACTGCAATGGTTGAAGTCATCCAAGGGACTAAAACACTCCAACTATACTAGTTTTACTTGGTGCGTGGGCGTCATGATCACTACGTCCAGGATCGAACACTCCAGCCGCGGCAACGTTTTTATGGGTGTCTCTGAACACTAGATCGATCATCCATGCAGGATGAGTTTCTTGTTGTTCTCTCCTTTGCTTCGAGGTGTTTTTCCTCAGATACTCCGGTTTTCCACTTTTCTCAAGAACCAAATATTAATTTCCAAACTCCAGTTAGATCAGGAATTAATGTAGGGGAAGGACTACGTGTATGTGCTCCCTATGAATTGTGATTTATTTATTTATTTATTTATTTATTTAATACGCGATATAAAATTTCTAATTTTTTTTCTGACGGAGAAACTGCAACCTCATCGCCCAAGAGGTTCGATTTGTAGCTTTACTGACTTTGAACGATATTACGAAGTACACTCATCACAGCTTGCCGAATGTCTCTCATCTTCCAGGAGTAGATCAGAGGATTGAGGGATGAACTTAGAAACACAAGTGTCATTGAATAATGAAACAGATGCATCCGCAAGACAGACTCACCATGCATTCGAATAGCAGTTCTGACGCAAAGGTGGGGTAGAAGACAAGCCAAAAACACGACATACACGTAAAATGTAGCAAGTTCAGTTCTTTTCAGCCTTGCAGTATTTGCCATTTCTTCATTCTGATTCTGTGATACTTGATGCAATTGCAGGGCGTGAATCTGATTTGTGTGGTGACGTACGATTGAATATATCTTGCAGTAGATTAATCCCGTTGTAGTGAGACAAACTGCCCCAGTAGTTATAATTATGATGTCCAAAACGTCTTCTCAAATTCTGTTCAACACAAATAAGGAAATACATGAACTGAACACCCAAACTGAAATTACTACAGCAACAACACGTCTGTATGTCACAAGTTCCTGGTATCTGAGATGAAGATGAATGGCTAAGAATCGGTCGACAGTTAAAGCGAAAATGCCCAAGAATGAAGCGGTACGTACACAATAAATAGGCAAAAAGGCCGTGCGCTGTGTGTACCGTATTATAGAGTCTTTGGTTAGCGCTTTGTTCTATTTCCATTAACCGACGTGCTATATAGAGAGGATGGACAAGCAAGCCAACACCAAGATCAGAAACAGCGAGACTTATGAGAAGTGTTTTTAAAGGCTTTGGAAAATATGATATTTTTCTTAGGGCTTTTATTGCTATGATGTTTAAAACCATAGCTGTGAAAAGCGAGAAAGCGTTGAAGAAGCAGGTGGCGACGAGCGTTGAATAAAAGCCTTCAATTCCTGCCATTCTGTAGGATGTTGAAAATGCGTCTTTAGATTCTTTCATTATATAGACTATTCCTTTAAGGAACTGCTGACGTCTTGTCTTTGCTAAGTTACCTGATCGGTCTCCAATAGTTTAGAATGTGGTTCACTTTCTTCCTTACTTTATTGGATGGCCAAGCGACCTTCAGGACCTTGTCCACTTCCGTACTTAATCTTGACATTGTCCACTAACTAGACAGTCTTAAATATCAAGACTTTCGAACAGCAAGAATTCTCTTAACGTAAAATTTCAAAAAAAGTTGAAAAAATGTAGCCACTTACTACTTTACAACACTTTCAAATTTGAATAACATTTTCTTTTGATACGAATGATAGATCGAGGTTAACAATTAATAAGCTTCCAGACGTTCAAATGTAAGGTATACTGACGCAATTGGCGTTTTTGATGATATGATAAATGTTAGAAAAAAGGTAATAATAATATAAAGAATATAAAGAACCTATTTAGTATTTTAGATAAAATGTGGCCGACAAAAATTGTTACAAACTAATTGGGACTAAGAAACTTATTTAAAGGTATATAAAAAATTATGAAAACATATTGACATCACGTCCAAGCAAAATTTATTGAGCGCAAACAGGTGTTTGTTTATAAGAATCGCGGAAATACGATTTTTTTTCTTTTTCTCTGTTTTTACTTTGGTCAAGGTTGTTTGTTATTTATTTATTTATTTATTATGTAGTATTTCTTGCAAAACTTTATGGCAAAAAGCTTAGGCCCGCCGACAATAAAAACCCAATATAATCCTCCACGACGATTGTTCCAGCGGCCTTAAGAGCTATGTTTGTCGTAAAACCGACCGTCTCCTCCGCTGCTCAAATATCGTAGAAACCGCAAAAAAAAAACTAACTACACTATTTTGTCCTTTTAATAGTCAGGGGCACCCAACGGCAATTTTCGGGAAAATATCTGTTCGGAAGACGATTTGAGAACTAGAATTTTCGGAGCATTTGTTGTAAAATTTCTTGCTTGCCTGCCTCTCCTAGGATTTTCGAACATCTACAAAATGGTATAATTACCCATTTTAAACGGACATTTACCCTAAAAAAAGCCACCTAGAATTTTCGGGAGCCTTTTGCTGGCTGAAATGCTCGAAAAGGTAAGCTTTGATCCCTATAATTTTCGGATCACTAGACTTTCAGCTAGGAAATCCGAACAGATGAAAAGTTTTCAGGGGATAAAAATATGCCTATATCTACCGTTTAAATACTAAAATACGTTCAACAATGCTATGTTAAGTGGTTTTGAACTTTATCCTCGTTGGGTGCCCCTGAATAGTTAAATACACCATTCCTGACAATCCAGAGCACAGTCACTAAGTTTAGGTGAACGAGATGCGACTCTGACGGTACCAGCCAACACATAGTGCCTGCACCGCGTGTACGGCTCTATACAGTCTGTAGCTGTATAACTTTGGAAGAGCTCTGCGAATGTTTTCTTTTTGGGGTGAGACTGGAATTGGTGGGACAATAAAGTGAACAGTCCCACGAAGTTCCCATACTTATAACATCCGAAATATCCATGCACTCATTTAAAGTGAAAATAATTTAAATACGACAACATCATTACACCAAAATTTGGATTTATTTTGAATTCATTTTAACCGAAACGCACGAGGTCGAGCTTTGTAAATGTTAAAGTTCGTCAGTCCAGTAGGAGAAATTTATTTGCGACTACCAAAGCAATATTAAGGTGGCTCGATGCGGTTTTTCAGGGTCAATACCTCTCAAATTTGAGAATAAACTATGTTTCTATTAACCAAGATTTGAAAAAAAATACCACCACAGCTGTATTAGATAAAGATGAAAATATGTTATCATCAGGACCCGGTTCCTGAAACGCCGATTAGCGCTATTCCAGGATTAAAAATTTTGTTCCATTTTCGTATTTACCTTCCAATGCATGGCTTAGAGCAACATTCTGTGTTATCAACACTGAATCTCGAAGTAAAGACGCCACAGTATTTTGTAAGCTCGAGTAACATGTTCTTAGACAAGAAAACCTTGCTTAAAATCCGGGTTAATCCTGGGTTAAACTTAACCATCTTTCAAGGAACCGGGCGCAGGGTTACGATGCCATCGGAGTTGTCATAGTACCGAAATGACGCCATTACCTATTTTACTTGCAGCCGTATTTCTCAGCACTGGGAACCTTTCTTCCAAAATCGTTCGCGGGAGGTTTTTCTTCCAATTGCTGCTACAATCGATGTCCGTTAAGTTTTAGGCAAAATCTTTGAGATCGTTATCCAGATTTTTTAGAATGGAGAATACGGTTAAAACTGGACAATCTTGACGTTCGGCCGCTGTCTTTAGAAAGCAAGGCGCTTTTGAAATGCAATTTCTCCTCATAGTAGTTTCAATCATTTTTAAAACGTGCGTGATCTTGGGCTCGGATAGCTTTAGCCGATTGCTTGAAAGGTGAAGGATTTTATTAGTATGCATTGAGGCGCTCTTATCGGCGGTTTTGTAAACATTTAAGTCTACTTAAACAAATAGGCGAATAATTTTGAAACAGCTAAATGATTTTTTTAAAAAACTTAAGATTTTCGAGATTAACCGACGTTGTTTGTTATGTCTTCCGCCACAATCGAATAAAGTCCCTAAGTTGTGTTTATAAGATCCAAACTGTCACCTGAATACTTGAAATTTAAACTTTGTATGTCTGAGCCCGGAATTTAAAATTTAAATGTGACGTCCTCATCATCATACAGCAATTTGAATATATTTTCATTTTAACTGAAATTAAATGCGATAGGTAGAGCTTTGTTCGTCAGTCAAATGGAAGAAAGATGTTTGAAACTACTGGCGCATTATTAAAATGGAAACAGCAGTTGGTTTCCTATGAATGGCAAAATACACAGTTAAACAGAACAGAGTTAGCGATGCTTGAGGAGAAAACAGACTTTTAAGTCGCAAACCAATCCAATGTATTTCCTGGACTCATGCACACATTTTTTCATTGATAAACTACATGGTCACGCGCGACCCAAAGAGTGTGAGGAAGATAAGGAGAGAAAAAAACTCTTTAACCATAACAAAAACTTATGGCGCGCTTAAAATAAAGACACAGTAGCCTAGTTACTTAATAGATCATCCGGTCCTTAATATGTGTCAAAGTTTAATCGCAAATGATCGGAATATTTACGTATCATGACGGCACAGTTCGATGTAATCATGTTGCAAAAAGCAAAATGTTCCTTAGATTTCAATCAACTTGGAAACTATGAAAATGTTTTAAAAAACAATACACTATCCTTTACTAACTTTAAGGCAGCTAATAAGAGGTAAGTCTTATTAGCTTCAGTTTTTTCAGTTTGATACACCCTCTTTCTTTTTTATAAGAATGATGTTTTCCTGGCCCAGGCTACTTTAGGCTGAAAATATTCTTGTATTATTCCTAAATAATTATTTTTAAAAAAGAAAGAATTTATCATGATATTTTTTTATTGACTTAGTTTTGCCACAGAAATTTGAGTTCATTTTCTTTTTAACCGAAACGCGATAGGTCGAGCTTTGTAAGAGTTGAAGTTTGTCAGTCAAATGGTAAAAAATTACTTGAAACTGCTGACGCAATATTAAAGTAGAAACGGCAGCTGGTTTGCAGTGAATCGTAAATACACAGTCAAACTCAAACGTTAATGCAAAAACGTCAAGATGCGAAGCCAAGACCAATACTTTTTTCTAGATTAAATACGCTTTGTATACTGAATAATAAGCAGTGTTGTTATAGAGTTCTCTTCTATGTTCATCACAAGAATTGCAACATACAGCGGTTGGACTAGTACGCCCACAACCAGATCAGCCAGGCTTAGAAGCAATGTTTTTAAAGTCTCAGACAACGAAGACGTTTTTGTGAGCGCTTGTATTGTTATGATGTTTAACACGATGGTGGTTAAACACAAGAAAGCGTTGAAGACGCAGTTAACAACAAATGTCAAATGCACGCCTTTAGCACTTGCCATCTTTTGCAAAGGACCCAGCTGATCAGTGTTCAGTTTCTAGTATAACAATGCAAAGGAACTTCATTGCTTTGGAGGAATCATCCGTTTTCGAATGAGACTAACCTTCAGCTTCCGCCATTAAATGAAACGTTTTATACAGTCTTAAGTTTAGCAGCTGTGTAGAACGTTTGAGGAACTCTGCAAGAAGAGACTGATGCTAGAAATAATTCTTTGCGAGACTTACCGAATATTTTGCAGAGATTCTCTTCCTCCTCCGATGGCAATTGGTTTTTAACTGAGTACTGTTGAGTCTTCCGCGACAATAGTAAAAAAAGTCCCTAATTCGTACTTATAATATACAAACTGGCCTTAATTGAAATTAAAACTGTGTTTGTCTGAACACGGAATTTAAAATTTAAATGTGACGGCATTCAGTAATTTGAATATATTTTCCCCTTAAGCGAAACGCGATAGGTCGAACTTTGTAAGTGTTGAAGTTCGTCAGTCAAAAAGAAGGAAAGTTGTATGAAACTACTGACGCAATATTAAATTAGCATCGGCGGTAGGTTTTCAATGAATTAAAAATATACAGTCAAACAAACAGAGTGGAGCGATGACTTAAGGGGAAAACGGACTGCTACGTCGCAAACCAATCCGGCAACGGACCTGTACATATTTTTGATAAACTACATGGTCACGCGCTACCTAAAGAGTGTGAGGCGGTTTAAGACACAGCACCCTAGTTCCTTAATATGTGGCAAAGTTTAATCAATTGCAAATGATAAGAATACCTGTTTATGCATGACATAGCAATCTGTTGAGCAACCATGTTGAAAAAACCAATATTATGCCTCAAACTGCAATCGAATACAACAACAATCAACTTGGAAGCTATGAAAATGTATAGAGTACCGAAGTGATGACGTCATAAAAATGAAATTTGTGA